TAGGATAAAACCTCCCTGTTCAGGGTCACTGGTCAATTAGCCATGTATACTCCAGGTCATTGGGTTGTTATTGTGGACAGTTCGGAGGCGCAAGTGAATGAGAGAGCGGGGATTGGGGCGGGGGGGGGGCGTGTAGCGTTGTTTGGTAATCTTCAGTTCATCGTACCGGATACTCTGGATGCTCTGTGTTACCCAGATCAGTGATACGTGCAATCTGAGCGGCATCATCCTCAGAAATACCGAATGTTTGAAAAGTCAGGTTGTCGGGCTACATATGAAGAGATCAGGTCTCATGATGTGGATAATTATCGCATCATCATAGAGCTCGTGTATCCCGCAACAGCTGCCCGAATCATTGAATACGCTAATTGTAGTACTTGTTGTATGGTAGACTATTCGACCTTGTGGTAATGATATTATTGATCACGTGAACATAGTAATACTCTTCCACTTTCATTGCAGTCACCAACATTGGACACAGCACACAAATGACCTACAACGCATCGATTTGTCCAACTGATCATGCCACTCCCGATCCGTGCGACATTTCACCCCGAATGCGTCCTCGTTTGGGCACAATGATAGGCCCTGGCCCAGGAGCCGGCCCCGGTCCAGGCCCGATCCAAAAACCACAACCCTGGCGACCCGTTCGATCGGAACAGCCTCAAACAACCGGGGTTGGGCTGCAGCACGTGACTCAGCGTCGTCGAGAGCGCCTGTTGGACTGGCCTCAGTTTCGATTGCGTCGGAAATTCACAAGCACCACGGAGAATGGTGTGAAACGCTGGAATGCGGATTCACTGTCCGAGACGGGACCGCATCGACATCCCATGAAAGCGATTCATCCCGGTTTGTCATCCGATTGCTCACAGTGAGTTTTCATGCATATCTCCGCTGCCTTTGAATCTGCTATCGAAGTGTTCGACACTTGATCGAATGTCCGGTTCGTAGTTCAACCTTGTCACTGATGTACTTTAATTATACTCCCATTAATTATCAAGTCATGCTGATAGGAAGAATAAGTGGCTTTCAAACAAAGTTCAGAACTGACCCCTCACCCTCAACTTACATTCAAAACGATCTACTATCCCCACGTTCTTTGCATGTGCGTGTGGCGATAAGCTTCCTCCCCACGGGAGATGTCACGAACAGTTTTACTACTTCAGTCGGACGAGAAGCATGTGCGGCCGTTCGCTTCTTGCTGTGGAATGATAAGCGATAAGCCAGAGTCGGGATCCACACGGAAAAGCACGCAGGTATGCCGTCGAGATGTGTGTGTAGATTAATATTTGATGAGCAACAATTTCAATCAAGATACTATTTGGCTTTCCCTTGAAAACATTACTTCACTTCAATCCACAGCCATGTCGTTTGTGGTTTTTCCCCCCAGAAAACATGCTTTATTCAGATTAATTTGTCCCAAACCAAAGTCTGAAATCAATGACTATTTTGTTCACATGTTCCAGATGAACAGATTTAATTACTAGGTTACTTACTGTGTCATTTTCTTCGGTGGCCACACACGTCTGAAACCTGCTAATTACACCAAGCGATCATGCGACGTTCGAACGTGCGTTATCCGCTCCCGATTGAAATTCATGCTTATGCGATTCCCCAATCACCGTGTTCCCCGTTATGTTTCTTCTTGATTGCTTGTCGAACAGATGTCCAACGATCATCACGGGATCGGTTGCCACGGGGATTAATGCTGCCGTTCGTGTCCAGTCAAACAAAACCGAGACGGTGGAAACGAGTGGAACCCGGCGCAGGCGGGGTATCAGCACGAATCCGCATGTGCGCCGTCGTTTCAGTGCGGACGGAATGCCACTTCACGGAGACGATCTGACAGGTTAGTCCATAATCGTTCAAACATTTGGCTGATTGACTGATCGAGTGTTTGATCGATTAGTTGCTTTTTGTTCCAATTCGGTTGAAATAGCTTTTTGGTAGTTTGCGGATACTTGGTTGACCAGAGCACGAACATACGTGTTCCTTATGCTTCAGTGTTCACAAACGTGCTTCTGATGTACCAGTGATACAGTGTCTGGGACTAGGGTGTGGATTTGTTCTAAAAGTCCAAACCTTTACACTGTAACAAATTTGATGATTGACTGTACGAGTGATCAGTACCCGTTATCCCGTAGTTGATCTCGATTCCCACAACTGAATAGGAATTGCTCGTGTATAGGCGAGAAAAGAAAAACACTTAGTGATTCATCTTGTATTTGTAAATGAAACAAACAGTGACAGGACTGACTTTGAGAGGGAACATGACACGGTTGTTCCCGTGTTGTACAGTCACAGTCAGACACAGAACAAGTGTGATCCCGGAATTTTTTTGATCCAACTCGATTGCTGAGCACTTTTCATTCATTTCAGTTTTGCGCTTCAATTGCTGCCTAACGGCTCCCTATTTGGCCGAACGGTAGACGGAATTGGGATTGAGGTGTTCAATGCAGTGTCAGCAAAGAGCGATACTGTTCGGGACACTCAGTATGTCTAACCATTGATTACGCGAATCCCGATGTCCTCACCGAAGAAGCCTAACGCGGCCTATGTCGCGCGTACAACATGTAGAATCTGCACGTGATACTATTTATTCCTTGTTGCTGCTCTATGACGAATATTTTGAACCGGATATTTGAGTTTACCGGGATCCGCATTCACCAAGCTGAATCAGTGTCAGCGTTCAACGTCCAAAAAATTTGCATTTACAAACGTTCCTCATTTTCTATCATATTCCTCCCTTTATTCTTCCCCTGTACACAGATCCTTCTCCGGCTAAACGGATTTATGACGTTCATGGCCACAGAACGATACATCATGGCAATTCCATGGATACACTGTAAGTATTGCGTCTGTTATCGAAAAAACCGATCTCTTTGTCTGGGTCACTTGACCTGGTCCGTGATTCGCTATGCGTGAACTCCGAGATAATTTTGTCTCTAAGATCAAACCTTTGTGATAAAAAGTTGGTGAATTTTAGTGTTTGTTTGTTACTATGATTCCGTCCGGTCTATGTTACGTGACCATTAAAGTTCACGGAATTACTCAACCAAGTGGCCTTTTATATGCTGACCTCGTTTGTCTATGACCAAATTCGAAGCAGACATTTGTTCTACGTCTTTCTGTTTTGTTAAAAGTTCAACCGTAGCCCATCAGCACAATAACAGCCTTCTGTGACCTGATACAAATCGATTTATTTTCATCTTTTTTCTTTCATTTTTAATTCCTTTTTATTATATATGTAATGATACAATTTTCAGGAAGGGGGAAGCGGCCAATCAGAGGACTGCCATGCACCACACAAATGCGGAAAGTCAGGCGGCGGTGGTGGGATTCGAACTCTCGTCCTCGGGGGTGAGAATTGGTGACGTTAGCACCGGGGCCACACCGCCCGATTATACCTTGGAAATAATCCTCAAAATAGTATTCTTTTCGATTACACCGGATTGTTTCTGTGTTCACACCTTGACCGCTCGCATCTTGCTTGTCTCCATTTGGTGCAAACAATAAAACCTTGTAAATCTAACCACGTGCACACCCGCATACAAGCGTTTGCTTACATGTATTAGGC